CACACAACACACTCACTCTTTCCATCGTGTAAAGAAGAATGAGCCCCACAAACACTCTCACACTTTTATACAGACTTTATTACACATGTTACTCATTACCTTTTATCATTTATTGTCATTGTTTCATCCCTCAGGTGCACATGACTCTAGATGAGATGAAGAACTTCAATCTTCAAAACAATATTTTATGGCACAGTATTATGAGACATAATCCATTACTTTGATTAGACTGTTGTCCTACATGAAAATATTTTTATAGCAATTCTGAAAGTGTCTTTGAATCACCCCTCCACAAACAGACTTTACTTTTGGAAAATATCCCAGTTACTTTCCCAGTAACGTAATGTCCCAGTTACTTTGAGATCACAAAGGTTGCAGTTAGAGGAGGGATTTGAGCTTGAATAAAATGTCTGGAGATAAATATGTTCTGTGAGTAAAACTGAAATGAATAACATGATGATCAGGATTTCTTGATGAAGGCTGCACATTCTGCCAGATTGTTTTCTAAGAGTCATGGAGATCTTCTTCCTACAGTCTGACAACACGTAAAGGTTCCTGAGAGACTGACTAAAGGAAAATACTTACTTGCACTTTGCTGGTTGAATGGAGTGGATAAATAATAGAGCTATTCCATGGGACCCCATAAGTGTTCATTGCAGTCCACAGTTGTAAATAAAAATAAAAAGTGGATCCTGGTAGATTGTATTGCTTTTGTAACTCTTGAAATGATAAGAGGCCAGAGGAGTTGATATCACTTAAAATATGGACTCCATTATTTGACCATTGACAAAAAGAAATGGGGATGTCTCCAACTTTAAGTAAAGAATTTGAAAATTTAGATCAGGGAGTGTTTAAACCATATAGACTTAATATTGCAGTGTTTGTTGACATTATTCCAACACTAATATTATTTCATTAATAATAGAACCATATTTTAAAAGCTGATTTGGAGGAATATTGGGATAGACAAAATCTTGAAGTTGGTGGGAGTGCACAAGTTTCTCCTCGATAGATCTTCAGGAGGCAGTAGAGTCTGGGTGTAATTGGTTTAGTGACCTAAGTATGAATGACCAATGATACCACTTAAAGTTTGTGACCCTAAAGCTCCTCACCTTTGGATTTATGTAACACAGACTTGTATTTATTATTTGTTTTTTATTGCACCAGATGAAATTTGCTTTTGATAGTTGCAACTTCTCCCAGTATCTCTTAGGAGGTGAGAACGAAGCTTGTAAAACTGATTGAAAGAGAATGTTTTTATGACTGAGATTCGAGCATGAAAGGTTAGAGGAAGTGAATCCCATTGGTGTAAATCTGCCACTGACAGGTTTTCACAGTTGTTTTTGACAATATCTGAAAGGGATGGAAAAACTCCAACATATTTTAAGTTAAAGAGCACATCTCATGCAAAATAACTCTTTTCACATATATCTTCTGCACATATACAAGCACAATTTGGGTTTTGGAACATCCATTACACAATAGTTATGAAATCTTATTGATTTCTTGGAGGCAGCCACAGACCAGGAACTATGAAAGAGCAACTATTGCTCATCCCCCCGCCCGTCCTGAGAAAGACGTAGGCTCTGTGTGAGCCGCCCTCCACCCATCTCAGGGAGGGAGGGGGAGACAGACATGCACCATGGTGCGATACAGCGCGTTCAGCCGCATGTTTTGGAAACAGAATCGGACAAGGACTTTGAGGTGCACGAAACCCTCCTCTCTCTCCTGCAGGGAGCAAACACAGACCACGGCCGAGCTCTACCTGCTTTCATCGAATGGTGTGATAATAACCACCTGGACCTAAATGTAGCCAAAACCAAAGAAATGGTTGTAGACTTCCAGAAAAAAGTCCACAGCCCAATAGCCAGTTCCATCCATGGGGAAGCTGTAGAAACGATAGACTCTTATAAGTACTTGGGAACTGTGTTTGATTCCTCGTTTGATAAGAACACTGAGCACATCGTGGATAGGTCAGCTCTTTTAATGTGTCGTCTAACATTTTAAATAATTTTTATAATTCTTTTTTTGAAAATTTGCTCTTTTTTTATCTTTTATCTGTGTAAGAACAGTCTGACAGCAGCAAAATCATTCTGTGTGGAGCCATCGGTGACATGACTGAGTACTGGCACTCACAGTTCATGAAAATGTCCTCTGGGAGGCGCTATGTCACCCCACAGCAAAAGATAACCATTATGCCAAATTTTTTATTCCCTCTGCCAAAATTTGTTACTGTGTCTGATGCCTGTTTGTCAGGTGTCTTTTATATTTATATTTTGTGCGTGACCAGAGATGTGCGAACTGAATTGCCCCTTGATTGAGTTCAAGCACCACGTCGACATCAGCTGAACATTACTGATTGGTAAAGTTTTAATAAACACTAGTAGATAAATTTACTATATCATGTTCACTGCAGTGTAGAACAATGAGCTTATGCTGTCGCTTTTGTTTAGGTGTTCATGTGGGAATTGTCAGCTGATGTGGGGTGGAGGCGGAGGTGGTGGAGCACGGGAGGGGGGCAGGTGTGAAGCACCTTCTGCTACGTCAAACGCGTCATCGTTGTAGCAGCTTTAGTTTGTTGTCATGTGGGAGGGTGGCAGAAATAAGCTGCAATTTCTTTAAAAAAAAAAAAACAAAACACCATATCAATCTAAAAACCACTTCAGCGACATATACAAGGCCCACACATCACTCTTAGAAGGTAGAAAGCTCTGAAAAGTTGATTTTGCATGAGATGGGCCCTTTAAGTCAGATTAAGAGGGAGTACAGTGGATTTACTCCTACTGACTTTATAGCTCGTCTCAAATAACTGAAAGTGCCAAGAAGGTGGAGATGTGAATGGGTGACATCCTTCAGATACAGCAGTATATCATCTGCATATAAAGATCTGGAGTGTGTGGTGTTATGGACACTAACAGGTCTATGAAGGATTGACTGATGGACGACTTGAGCCACAGGTTCAATACTAAATGTGAATAAAAGTGGAGAGAGCGGACAACCCTGACGGGAGCCAGAATGAATGGTTGGAGTGTTTGTCCCGTTAGTACCACTGCCAAGGGGTTATTCTATAGAGTCACTGAAATCAATTTAGAACCAAACTGAGGTTGTAAGACAATACAGTTGTGAATTTCTATGTGAATACTAAAAAGAGTAAAGTGGAACAATCAGATGACGCCTGACAACCCTGACGGAGAGCTGACAATGAATGAATGGTTGGAGTGTTTGTCCCTGTGTGTATGTATGTTTAGTACCAATTTGCCAGCTGGGGTTGGTTATTCTATAGAGATCCTTGCACTCACTGAAATCCCAAAACTTAATTTCTAGGTGTCAACCACAATGTTTGTTTTGCTGTTTTTCTTTGTTGTTTTGTTTTGTTTGTTTTGCTGTTTTGCTTTGTTCTCTTTTGTTTTGCTGTTTTGTTTTGCTTTAGTTTTGCTCCATTGTTTTGTTTGTTTTGTTTCACTGCTGTTTTTACTTTAGTTTTGCTTCGGGTTTGGGGGTTTTGTTTTGTATTTTCAATATTGTGTACCTGTTCTCCCACTGTAGTGTTTTACTGTTTGCCTAAGCTACTTTTAAATATAAAACTTTTAAATAGAGGAAAATATTGTTAAATGATGGAATCAATGATATGCTTATATTTTGTTTAAAGTTGTGAATTTCTATGGCAACAGTCCTATTGTTTCATTATTCTGAAGCCCATGGATAGACAGTTGTTGGAGATGATCTTTTCTGCTCGAACACTTGAAACTTGATTCTGGTTTGATGTGATTGCTGTCAATTTCAAATAAAGAAATAATCAATACAAATAAATGTAACTATGATTGAAAATACAAGGTCTAAATACTGTAGTAAAGTTATATCAAGAGAGAGCACATGTACTTCTCAAAATAACCAAGAACAACAAGTCTGTATATAAAACACAAATAATTTACAAATATATATACTCCTGTAAATGTTCAACTTTATTACACCTTTCCCTTCAGTTTGAAAGAGATAAGAAGTTGTGATATGTCTGTGTTTCCTCAATAGAACAATAGTGATCTGTGTAGTGATAAAATGAACTTTGTTTTTAAGATGTACTTTCCTTTGACAAAGTGAATGAAATCAATAAAAGCAGTTCTGAAGTCTTTGTCAATAAAATAGTAAAACACAATAAAACAATAACTTAATAAAAGCGTGCCCTGGATAATCTCTGTTGTTGTTTTGTTCTGATGGTCTTTAACTTGAACTCCATGTTTTTCTTTGGTCTTCTATTCTGCTGTATTCATAAAAAGATCACAGACTGGACACTTGAGCCATGGATTATGGACAGTAGCACTTTAACAGGATTTAATGTAGCTACATCAGTGTCTATGTTCTCATCTAAACTGTATCAACCCTCAACTCTTTATATTATCGTACACGTTATTGTGCCCAGTTGACTTGAATCTTGGAGGATAATGTAAAATGTCACTAAACACTTTGCAAAGACATAAAGTAAAAGAAAACGTCTGTGTGATAAGATATATAGTTGGTCTATGTAAGTGTAAGGAAGAGATAAAACTGAAACAGAAATTAAACTCTTTTTATTTATTATTTCAGGCAACACAGAACATAACACAATACTACACAAAAAATATTTAAGACCTGTGTACAAATGTGGAGTGCAATATATTGTTACCCTATAATCTCAAATCAAACACTCAAACCAACTTAAATGAATGCATGAATCTTTTTTCCTTATTTCTAAATTACATTTTAAAGATGTCATTGAAATACTGTTGAGGTATTAATTGTTATATTTACACTCCATATTGGTTAAAGAACAGCTGATTTTTATGTTTTCATGTTTAACTTTTTGCCTGTAAATTCCATCAATGACACTTAAAAACAATTTAAATGTGAAAAAGTAAAAAACTTGGGCTGTGTGGTGTGGATTTAAAGTTACAGATTTGTAACTGTTTGAATTACAAAAAAAAAAAAGTTATATTAGAAATTTAACATTAACAAACAAGCGTCTGTCACATGGGGAACAGCAGGCGACCACTGAATGTGCTGTGGTGATTCTGATTATAATAGATTCTTGTATTCTCCCACTGACGCAGAAACACAACATCTCCAACCTCCAGGAGCAAAGTGACTCCATTGGCTCCAGTGCCGTAACCATTTGTCTGATGTTCATAAGAGCTAAAAGTATGTTCTCCATTCTTCACCAACACAACAGATGAACCATGTGAAGAATGTCCAAGTGCACCAATGTAGAACTCAAAGTGGTAGGCCCCTCTGACCGGTGCAGTGAAAAACCCTGTAGGATATGTACATAATGTTAGTGTTGGTAACGCTCACATAGATCACTGTAACATGTGTGAGTTTATTCACCTGTGTTTGGGCTGTAGGCGTTTCCAATGTTTGAGACCACGTGTCTGAAGACCAGATTAGTGAGAGTGTTAAAGGGGCCGATGTCTCCTGAGCCTGAAGCCATTAAAGCGGCGGAGAAAGCCACTTGTCCCACTGAAAATAAGATAAACATAAAAGTCTGAACATGAACTGTCTGTAGTCTCAATGTGGTTTTATTTATTTATTTAAAAAGAAGCCCCTTGAGATGTAACAGATTCTAGTAGCTATGATTTGTGTTAGATTTATATTATTGAAGTAATTCTGATCATTACTGCAGGAGTGACCAAGCCAATTGTTAAAATCACCCAGAAAAATCATCTCAGTTTGAGTATTTAAGAATTTAATAGTGGAAAGAATAGATTTTGTACATTCAGCTGGGGCATTGGGTGGTCTGTAAATATCACTTTGACAAACTTTGACAAACAGACATTCAAAATGGATTGGGATTCTTTTTGTGTGTAATGACTTCAGAGACTAATTTTGAAGAAATGTTTGTAACAACTCCTCCACCTCTAGAATTTATGTGTCATCTACACAATAAATAATTGTCAAGTTTAATTTCCTCTTCTAAAATGTTCTTTTTAAGTGACTCTTAATGTTTCAGACAGGGTAATTACACCAGGTTTATTGTAGAAGAGCCGGGCTTTTAGTTGATCAATTTTAGGCAGTAGGATCCTGATGTTAAGATGAATCATTTGGATACTTTTGTCAGTTTTTATAAATACATGCCACAACAGAGAGAGAGTCTGAAAGACAGAACATCACACACACACACACACACACACACACACACACACACACACACACACACACACACACACACACACACACACACACACACACACAGGATTCTGGTTGTCAAGAGTACTGTTGGGGATATGGTTAGTGATAGACTCTTAAACATAATATGTTGGCAGATAATGCTAGGAACAAGTTTGTAGTTTAGCAAGTACTGGAGTCATAGTAGTAGTAGTAGTATTAGTAGTAGTAGTAGTAGTATTACCAGGTGCCTGTCAGAACACTCTTTTATGACAGATCATCACAGTTTACAAAGATCAAACAGGCGTGGTCATGATGTTGTCATTGTGCGTCAGAACTAACAAACAGAAACTGTAAACAAGTAGGTGTGTTAGTTTCAGTTAGTTAGCTCCTCCCTGCAGATAAAAGTAAGTGTCCACCAGCGTCTGATCAGAACTGAAGAAGCAGCTTGGATGATCTGAGAAACATCTTCAACCAAACTGACTTTTGTCCAGTCGACAAACTGAATTTTCTCTCGCCATGGATTCTACCTGGATGACTGAGGGATTCTTCACACAGTTTAGCAAGTACTGTAGTCGTAGTAGTAGTAGTAGTAGTAGATCAAAGATCAAACAGGTGTGGTCATGATGCGACTGAGTGGTGAGAGCAGTATTATCAGTTAGAACTTTACTGTCACCTCCACTCAGCCAATAAGTTACACTGGAATTCCTGTACAGCTGTTCATCCATGTAAAGTTTGTCCACTGTGAGACGGTTCTTTTATTGTTCTTTCTCACATCCTTCATAACTGGATACAAGAGCCGTCTTCACTTGAGAATCTCAGGTGGAAACTGATCGCTGAACAGTGTTGGGAAGGTTACTTTTAAAATGTAATCCCCCACAGATTACAGATTACACACCCCAAAATGTAGTTTGTAACGTAATCCATTAAATTACTTAAAGTGAGTAACGTAATCTGATTACTTTGGATTACTTGATATTGTCATGTTTTTTTAAACGACATGAATGTAGCAACCACATCCTGAAAATTCTTGTTTGTTGTCTTCAAATTGTCTGAGCCCAAGTCTCCATGAATAAGCAACTGTTTGCTGTAGAGAAACAAAGACCACGAGATCTTAATATAAGAGGTTTTGTCTGTTAAAAGACAGAAACAAGATCAGTCTTTTCCTTCACCAGATTAAAAAATATTATTGATAGAGAAATTATTTTTTATATGAGATCACCTTAAATTATGTCAACCTACTGTTAGGTGTCATGTTGTTTTGTTTAGTCCTGGTTTAGTCCTGGTTTAGTCCTGGTTTAGTCCTGATTTTTAGACCTGGTTTAGACCAGGTCTAGATCAGGTCTTTAGTTCTGGTTTAGTCGTGGTTTAGTCCTAGTTTAGACCTGGTTCAGTCTTTAGTCCTGCTTTAGTCCTTTAGTCCTGGTTTAGTCCTTTAGTCCTGGTTTAGTCCTGGGTTAGTCCTGGTTTAGTCCTGGTTTTAGTCCTGGTGTTAGTTCTGGTTTAGAGGCGCACAGGAGGAAGCACGGTTTACGCGAGAAAACACGTTCCACACGCGGCGCACGAGACGGCGGTGTCCGCGCTGTAACTACGGAAGGAGACGTGGTCCGCGGGTTCTCAGGTTGATGACGATGATGAAGGTGTGTGTTTGTGTGTGTGTGTTTGTGTGTGTGTCTGTGTGTGTGTTTGTGTGCACGTCCACTCATGTGGCAGGTCACTATAGGACAGTAGTGCAGATATTATGAGTCTATGCAGGTTGTTTTCACCAGTGCCAGTAGCTCCTGTTTCACATTTAAGTTGTAGGCGATTTTATATTTGTTTTTGTTTTTTTTATATATATCTCACATCGGAGAAGAATTTCCAAGACACAAATGTGTTTTTACCAATGCACTGCTGCTTCCACTGTGTGACTGACACCGCCAACTTTAACATGACGTTTACATCGCTCTTATTGCGCGCGTTCTGTTTGGGTTTCCGGCAATGAGTGGAATTACCGAAATAAAAAAATAAATAAATGGGATGTAGCACAAAATGTGAAAACAGGAAAATACCGCCTTGTAATCCACTTATTTCAGCAAAGTAACTGTAATCCAATTACCACTCACTGAAGCAGTAACTGTAACGGAATACAGTTACTCATAATTTGTACTCTGATTACATAACGGCGGTACATGTAATCTGTTACTCCCCAACACTGTCGCTGAAGGAGAAAGTTGTTCTTTGAGTTTCACACTTTAGACTTGCTCTTTGGATCCATGAGTTGTGCAACAACAGGACGAGAAGTCCAAAATGTGATGAACTCTACCAAAGATGATGATCTTTAACGATGCCTCATCCATTTTAATGTAAGTGGTCATAAAGTTTTTAACCATCAGCTCTGTCTTTTGGTCGGTTTCTTCTTGTGCCTCTGGAACTCCGTGTATAATAATAATATTCTTTATTTAGTCTGTCTTAGTATTTTGCCTCTTCCCACAGTCCAGGTAAGTGTGTGAAGAATGTGAGTTAAAATTTTCATGATCGATGAACTGGTCTCACCTTCTCTGTCTCTCCTCAGGGACGTCACATGGTTTTCAGTCACATTTGTCCAAGCCTTTATGCTATTAAGTTCAGCAGCTTGGCCTAAGAGGATATAAAAGCAAAAAAAAACAAACAAAAAAAACTCACATTTTAAAATTTAATTCTATAAGGAAAGAGTGCACCTAGAGATAATTCACTGTGGCTTAGACAATCCACCAGTGCTGATACAGAAGATCTAAACACTAAGGTCACACAGTGAATATGTTCACGATGTTTTATTAACACACTTTACAGAAAAATAAATTTAACTCGACTCCTGTGTTTGTGAACACTGGTATTTAAATGTGTGTGGACGGGTAAACACTTTGAGTGCTCAGTGAAATTAGAAACTCACTATAACAGCGACCATTTATCTAACATTTAAACTTTTTAAACTCTAAACGTTGTACAGTGTTTGTAAAGTGTTTTGTACTCAATAGCATCATGTGAACATAATACCTTTTAGTTGTTCTTTAATTGGCTCCACTTCACTGGTCTGCTTCTGGAGCTCCTGGACTTGTGCTGTTAGTCCTTAAACAGAAGTACAATGGAGTCAGTGTAAATATTGTTGGTGCAATTCTATATTTTAAAACTGCAGTATATTTATTTATTGATAAAAAGGCTGAACAACCAATTATGAGACCACATTTATTAAGACTCACTAGTTTACAGGCAACAAAATGCAATTACAGAAAATAATAGCAGCTTCTCAATTTTAATGTGGTCTTATAGTAGTTCATATATATATATATATATATATATATATATATATATATATATATATATATATATATATATATATTATCCTAATCCAATCCTATTTCATAGTAAAAATAATTTACATGAAAATTACCTTGTTGCTTTGCATTAATGTGTCCATTGTTGCAGTGAGATGATTATTTTAGAACTGTCTGAGGTCTATAGTGACTAATGACTGTACCTTGTTGTTGTTGTTTCAGTGTCTCCACATCTCTGGACTTCAGCTCTCTTAGTTCAGCTTTTTGGTCTCTCAATTTGGCTTCTTGGTCTCTAAGTTTTGCTGCTTGTTCTAAGAAATCACATATAGTATTGGTCAATAATGTATAAAAAAAAAAAAAAAAAAAAGACAAAACTTTACATAAAATGATTTCAGTGAGTTAATGTTGTCGTTGGTCTTATAGCAGTTTCGATAGAGATCTCACTTTATCTCTTTTTTTGACAATTCTAAACGAATATAAATATTTCTATTTCCATTGTAAAATAACTTGGGTAAAAGATACCTTGTTGCTTTGCATTTATGTGTCCATTGTTGCAGTGAGATGATTATTTTAGAACTGTTTGAGGTCTATAGTGACTAATGACTGTACCTTGTTGTTGTTGTTTCAGTGTCTCCACATCTCTGGTCTTCAGCTCTCTCAGTTTGGCTTCTTGCTCTATAAGTTTTGCTGCTTGTTCTAAGAAATCACATATAGTGTTTATTAATAATGTATAAAAAAAAATTACAAAACTTCACATAAAATGATTTCAGTGAGTTAATGTTATCATTGGTCTTATAGTAGTTTCGATACAGATCTCTCTTTTTTTTCTTTTTTGACAATTCTAAACTAAAATAAATATTTCTATTTCCATTGTAAAAGAACTTAGAAACCCTATAGTGACTAATGACTGTACCTTGTTGTTGTTTCAGTGTCTCCACATCTCTGGACTTCAGCTCTCTCAGTTCAGCTTCTTGCACTCTCAGGTTGACATCTTGATTTCTAAGTGTGGCTGCTTGTTCTAACACATCAGAAGATAAAGTTTTGATCAGTAATGTATAAATAAATAACAAAGTCTAACATAAAATGACTTCAGTGAGTTGTGAAGTGTTGATTCTGACCTTGGTTGAGACACTGCAGCTGCTCGATATTGACTCTTTGTTCAGCCAGGGCGGCGCTCATGTGTTGGAGCACAGCGTGGAGGTCTGGTGGACAGGGCTGAAGCTGCTCTGGCACATTCACACTCTCAGGACTGGCTTGTCTTTGGTCACTGATCTCATTGTCCTGAAGTTCAGCTCCTGACAGAGAGCAGAGCAGCAGCAGCAGTGCACACAACACACTCACTCTTTCCATCGTGTAAAGAAGAATGAGCCCCACAAACACTCTCACACTTTTATACAGACTTTATGACTTATCATTAGTCATTACCTTTGTTTTATCTCTCATGTGCACAAGTTTAGATAAGATTAAATAGTAGGCTACAGGTTTTCAAAACAAATTATAAAATGGAGTTCAGACCCACTTTTTCTTTATTAACTAAGTTGATAACTGAACAATACATTTCAAAATCAGAATTAGTTTTATTCATCCCCAAGGGAAATTCTTTTCAACCAGCAGAAAATAGCATTAAGTAAATTTTAATATCCATAATGCAGTAAAACAAGTCTCCATCAACTAAACCTCCACTAAAAATAAAATAAACCACTTAAAATATAGTTCTCTCATAACATTTACCTCTTTATAAACAGTTTTACAACAGTGCAATATGTTGCTACAGTGAGACTTTTACAACACAGAGTTCAGCAGTTTGATGGCGACTGGCAGGAATGATTTCCTGTGTCTGTCAGTGGAGCAGTGCGGCAGTGACAGTCTATGTCTGAACGAGCTCTTGTGGCTGACCAGCACATTGTGGAGTGGAAGAGTTCAGAATAGTCCTGATTTTGGACAACATCCTCCTGTCCGACGCTACAGTCAGAGAGTCCAGCTCCTCCCCACAACATGTTCACTTTCTTGATCATCTTATTGAGTCTATTATTGTCCCTCACATGCAGACTTCTGCCCCAGGAGACCATAACATACATGATGCCACTGGCCACCAGAGACTCCACAGACTCGTAGAACATCCTGAGCATTGTTCTGCAGATGTCAAAGGACCTCAGCCTCCTCAGAAAGTAGAGACGCTCTGGTCTTTCCTGTAGACAGTGTCCACGTTCCTGCTCCAGTTCAGTTTATTGTTCAAGAGCTCCTCAATCAGACTTTGGCAATTTGGATGAATCGGAGAGTGGGTGAGAGTGGACAACCCTGACGGGAGCCACAGGATAGATTGAATGGTTGGAGTGTTTGTCCAGTTAGTACCATTGACATTGGCTTATTATATAAAGTCTTAATCACTGAAATAAATTTAGACCCAAAGCCTGAGTGTTCTAAGACTGACCAAAAAAAGTTATATTTGAGGAGTTCAAAAGTCTTCTCTGTGTCCAAGGAAAAGACAGCAGCAGAAGAATCAATAGTTTTAATATTTCATTTTAAAGGGTGAACTATGACAACAGTCCTAATGCTTCATCAGTAAGAAATCCATAGATAGACAGTTGCTGGAGATTATTTTTTATGCTAGAACACTTGGAACATTAATTATGGTATGATGTGATTTCTGTCCATTTCTATCACATAAAAATACAGTGTTTAAATACAGTATTAAGTATATTAGGATTAGTCTTCCTGCAAATGTTTTAATTTATTATGTGTTTGTCTTGTACCTTGATCCTAGTTTGTGTTTCTCAGGAACAACAGTTTGAAAGAGATAAGAACTTGTGATACGTCTGTGTTTCCTCAATAAAACAATATTCATCTGTGTAATGATAAAATGTTTTTTTTAAGATGTACTTCCCTTTGGCAAAGTAAATCAAAGCAATAAATGCAGCACTGAAGGCCATGTCAACAACACAGTAAAACACAATAAAACAATAACTCAGTAAAAGCATTTCCGGATGATCTGTTGTTTTGTTTTGATGATCTTTAACTTGAACTCCATGTTTTTCTTTGGTCTTCTATTCTGTTGTATTCATAAAAAGATCACAGACTGGACATTTGAGCCATGGATTATGGAAAGTAGAACTTTAACAGGATTTAATGTAGTTACATCAGTGTCTATGTAGCCCTGAACTCCTTAAATTATAGTACACCTTATTCTGCCCAGTTGACTTGAATCTTGGAGATTTATACAAAATGTCCTTAAACACATTGCAAGAATTGAAACAGAAAAAAATATTAATCATAAAAGCTATTTTATTTCATGCAACACAGAACATAACACAGGCGGCTGGTCCATAATGGACGATGGTGTGACGTCCTCCCTATCGATCATGTAAATTTGCAAAACTATTCAAGATAAAAATTTGAGATAGTTCAGCAATATTAGTCTTTAAATATTACATCAATGTGACTATATAATAATAATGACTATACATAACATAAATCACAAGAAAATATTTCTTAATCTTTTCATTCATTTCAAAGTACATGATTGAGCTGCTTGGGGCAATCTGAAAATAGCCCATCTGCTCCATTCAAAGTCAACGAGAGAAATCTGACCAATCAGATCCTCGCATCTGTGTGTCTAATGTATTTGAGCGGAGTGCATGAGGGCGACCAGATCTACAGCTCATAACCCGAACCCCAATATTCCATAGTGACAGTGTTATTACACCAGCGCAGCAGCTCGCCCTGAAAAAACCTGTGGAGCGTTCCCTAAACCCCTGAACTCGGGTCCAGAGTCACAGCACCAAGACAAAGTCCACAGGACACAGGGACAGTCTCACATTACACCTGACACCAGGTGAAAGGAACATGTGCACAAGATGAAGTTTGATTGAGTAGAAGAAGAGGTTTGATGAACTTTTACTGTAAGAGGCAGAAGCTAGAGGAGCTCACAAACTTATCTGATTCCTGTTTATTAAAGTTTATTAGAGTTTATTTCAGACTGACTTGTTGTACCTTGTTGCTGTTGTTTCAGTGCCTCCACATCTCTGGTCTTTATCTCCAACTCTCTCAGTTCTGCTACTTGCTCTGTAAGTTTGGCTGCTTGCTCTAAGATGTCACATATAGTGTAGAAAAATACAGCAGGAATCAATTACAAAATATAACAAAACGATTTGATCACTTTGTTGCACAGAAGTGTTGTGTCTGACCTTGTTTATTGTGGGCAGCTGCAGTTTATTGTGCTGTATTCATAAAAAGATCACAGACTGGACACTTGAGCCATGGATTATGGACAGTAGCACTTTAACAGGATTTACTGTAGCTACATCAGTGTCTATGTTTTCATCTAAACTGTATCGACCCTGAACTCCTTGAAGTACTTGAATATTGGGAGGATTATGCAAATGTTATTAAACAGAAAATAGACAGAACAGAAATTAAAACACTTTTTATTTATGATTTCAAGCCAGACAGAACATAACACAATACTACACAAACATATTAAGACCTGTGTACAAATATAGAGTGCAATATATTGTTGACCTACTGTACAATCTCAAATCAAACACTCAAACTAAATTAAATAAATGTATGAATCTTTTTGTAATTTACATTTTAAAGATGGTCATAAAAATGCTGTTAAGGTATTAATTGTTATATTTACACTCTATATTGATTAAAGAACACTTTTTGCCTATAAATTCCATCAGTGACACTTAAAAATAATTTAAATGTGAAAGTAAAGTAAGTAAAAAAAACATAAACTGCATGGTTTGAATTTAAACTTCCAGATTTGTGAAAAGTTTGTGAACTGTTTGAATTTTTTTTTTAAAGATATGTAATACAGATGTCAGCAAAATTGTTGGTACCCCTCTGGTAAGGAAAGAAAAATCCACAATAATAATAATACATAAAAATTTCCTGAAAAACAACCAATGAAAATCAGACACCGTTCTTGAATTGTTGTTCAACACAATAAAAAAAAAAAAAAAAAAAATCTAATGAAACTGGCCTGGACAGAAATGGTGGTACCTCTAGAAAACACTGTAAGTAATTGGACTATAGGGACATGTTAAACTTAGGTGTGTCTCTAATCTGCATCACAGGTTCTTCAGATTTTGTCCTCAGTCAGTTTGCCTGTTACAGGGGGACATGTGTCATTGTGCTGTTTGAAGACATGATGGAGACAACACTGAACATGGACCAGAGAAAGAGAAGAAGAGAACTGTGTTAGGAGACTAGAAAGAACATGATAGACAAGCAGGATAAAGATAAAGACAATAAGACCGTCTCCAAGCAGTTTGATGTTCCTGTGATTACAGTTACACATGTTCTTCACAAGTTTAAGATCCACAGGACTGAAGCCAACCTCCCTGGATGCGGCAGCAAGAGGAAAACTGATGACACATTAATAGATGGATCATCTGAATGGAAATAAAAGAGCTCAGAATGACCTCCAAACAAATTAAATGTGAACTTGAAGGGTGAGATACATCCAGTGTTGGGAAGGTTACTTTTAAAATGTAATCCCCTACAGATTACAGATTACTTACCCCAAAATGTAGTTTGTAATGTAATCCATTAAATTACTTAAAGTGAGTAACGTAATCTGATTACTTTGGATTACTTGATATTGTCATGTTTTTTTAAACGACATGAATGTAGCAACCACATCCTGAAAATTCTTGTTTGTTGTCTTCAAATTGTCTGAGCCCAAGTCTCCATGAATAAACAACTGTTTGTTGTAGAGAAACAAAGACCACGAGATCTTAATATAAGAGGTTTTGTCTGTTAAAAGACAGAAACAAGATCAGCTTTTCCTTCACCAGATAAAAAAATATTATTGATAGAGAAATTATTTTTTATATGAGATCACCTTAAATTATGTCAACCTACTGTTAGGTGTCATGTTGTTTAGACCTGGTTTAGTCCTGGTTTAGTCCTGATTTAGTCCTGATTTTTAGACCTGGTTTACTCCTGATTTTAGACCAGGTCTAGACCAGGTCTTTAGTTCTGGTTTAGTCCTAGTTTAAACCTGGTTCAGTCCTGCTTTAGTCCTGCTTTAGTCCTGGTTCAGTCCTGCTTTAGTCCTGGTTTAGTCCTGGGTTAGTCCTGGTTTTAGTCCTGGTGTTAGTTCTGGTTTAGAGGCGCACAGGAGGAAGCGCGGTTTACGTGAGAAAACACGTTCCACACGCGGCGCACGAGACGGTGGTGTCCGCGCTGTAACTACGGAAGGAGACGTGGTCCGCGGGTTCTCAGGTTGATGACGATGATGAAGGTGTGTGTTTGTGTTTGTGTGTGTTGGTATGTGTTTGTGTGTGTGTCTGTGTGTGTGTTTGTGTGCACGTCCACATATGTGGCAGGTCACTATAGGACAGTAGTGCAGATATTATGAGTCTATGCAGGTTGTTTTCACCAGTGCCAGTAGCTCCGGTTTCACATTTAAGTTGTAGGCGATTTTATATTTGTTTTTGTTTTTTTTATATATATCTCACATCGGAAGAAGAATTTCCAAGACACAAATGCGTTTTTACCAATGCACTGCAGCTTCCACTGTGTGACTGACACCACCAACTTTAACATGACGTTTCCATCGCTCTTATTGCGCGCGTTCTGTTTGGGTTTCCGGCAATGAGTGGAATTACCGAAATAAAAAAATAAAAAAATGGGATGTAGCACAAAATGTGAAAACAGGAAAATACCGCCTTGTAATCCACTTATTTCAGCAAAGTAACTGTAATCCAATTACCACTCATTGAAACAGTAACTGTAACGGAATACAGTTACTCATAATTTGTACTCTGATTACGTAACGGCGGTACATGTAATCCGTTACTCCCCAACACTGGGTACATCAGTGTCAGATTGCACCATACGTCACTGTTTGAGTCAAAGTGGACTTCATGTGAGGACACCACTGTTGAAAGCAAATCATAAAAAGTGACAGTGGAATTTGTCAGAGTGCATATTGACAAGCCACAAAGCTTCTGGGTGAATGTCTTTTAGACAGATGAGACAAAACTGGAGCTCTTTGGCAAGACACATCAGCTCTATGTTCACAGATGCAGAAATGAAGCAGACCAAGAAAAGAACACTGTCCCTACTGTGAAGCACGGAGGAGGCTTGGTTTTGTTCTGGGGCTGTTTTGCTGCATCTGGCACAGGGTGTCTTGAATCTGTGCAAAATACAATGGAATCTCAAAACTATCAAGGTATTTTGGACCAAAATGTGTCGCCTAGTGTCAGAAAACTTGGTCACAGTTGTAGGTCATGGGTTTTCCAACAGGATAATGACCCATGTGAGGGATGCCGTCCTCGTTGCATTTGACCTTGCCTCACCCCACCTCAGATCCACCCACCCCGGATCCGCCCCGCTGATCAGCCTCACCTGGTCCGCTTGATCAGCGGGGGTATAAAAGCCGGAGCCAACCCCAGAAGACTGACCAGTGGGTCCTCCGCTGCAGCGTTCCTGAGTTGTTTATTTTTGTGTAACCTTTATCCACGTTTTGTACACCTTTTTGGCACTTTTTTTGTAATAAATATCCTTTTTTTTTCACCTCGCCACACTTCCCGTTTTGTTTCACACCCGGTTAATTTTTAACATCTTTTTCAGTTACCGTGCCACCCCGTAGGCTCCCGTGGCACGTAACAACCCAAAACACACAGCTAAAAACACACAAGAATGGTTAAGAACAAAACATTGGACTGTTCTGGAGTGGTCTTCTGTGACCCCAGACCTTAGTTCTATTGAACATGTGTTAAAGAAGCTGAAACATGCTGATGGAGAAGGCACCCTTCAGCCCTAAGACAACTAGGGCAGTTTGCTCATGAGAAATGGGTCAAAATATCTGTTGACCAGAGCAGAAGTCTCATTGACAGTTACAGAAATAATTTGTTAGCAGAGTTTACCTCAAAAGGTTGTGCAACAAAATGTAAAGTTAAGGGTACCATCATTTTTGTCCAGGCCGGTTTCATTATTTTGTTTTTTCTAATAATTCTGTTGAACCACAGGTGAAAAACAATGTTTGATTTTTGTTGGAGAATTTCAGTAAATTTAGATTTTTTTTTTAATTGATTCTCAGTTTCAAGTTATTTCAGTGATTATTGTAGATTTTTCCTTCATTGCCAGATGGGTACCAACAGTTTTGTCCACGTCTGTATTTGAAATCTAACATTAAGAAACAAGCATCTGTCACATGGAGAACAGCAGGTGACCACTGAACGTGTTGAGGTGATTTTGATCATCATAGATTCTTGAATTCTGCCACTGACGCAGAAACACAACATCTCCAGCCTCCAGGAGCAAAGTGGCTCCACTGGCTGAAGTGCCGTGACCATTTGTCTGATGTTCATAAGCAAGAAAAATATGTTCTCCGTTCTTCACCAACCCAGCACCTGAACCATGTGAAGAATGTCCTCGTCCACCAATGTACCACTCAAAGTGGTAGGCCCCTCTGACCGGTGCAGTGAAAAACCCTGTAGGATATGTACATAATGTTAGTGTTGGTAACGCTCACATAGATCACTGTAACATGTGTGAGTTTATTCACCTGTGTTTGGGCTGTAGGCGTTTCCAATGTTTGAGACCACGTGTCTGAAGACCAAATTAGTGTGAGTGTTAAAGGGGCCAATGTATCCTGAGCCTGAAGCCAATAAAGAGGTGGAGAAAGCCACTTGTCCCACTGAAAATAAGATAAACAAAAGTCTGAACATGAACTGTCTGTAGTCTAAATGTGGTTTTATTTATTTATTTAGAAGAGAAGTCCCTTTGAGATGTAACAGATTCTTGTAGCTATGATTTGTGTTAGATTTATATTATTGAAATAATTCAGATCATTACTGCAGGAGCGACTAAGCCAATTGTTAAAATCACCCAGAAAAATCATCTCAGTTTGAGTATTTAAGAATTTAATAGTGGAAAGAATAGATTTTGTAGATTCAGCTCGGGCATTGGGTGGTCTGTAAATATTACCTTTGATTATATATTTTTTAAATTTTCATGTTTGACAAACAGATATTCAAAATGGATGAGATTCTCTTTGTGTGTAATGACTTCAGAGACTAATGTTTGTAACAACTCCTCTAGAATTGATGTCTCATTTATACAATAAATAATTGTCAAGTTTAATTTCTTCATCTGAAATGTTACTGTTGACTTACTATTTATGTTTCAGACAGGGTAATTACACCAGGTTTATTGTAGAAGAGCCGGGCTTTTAGTAAATAGATTTTAGGCAGTAGGATCCTGATGTTAAGATGAATCATTTGGATACTTTTGTCAGTTTCATAAATACATGCCACAACAGAGAGAGTCTGAAAGACAGAACATGACACACACACACACACACACACACACACACACACACACACACACACAGGATTCTGGTTGTCAAGAGTACTGTTGGGGATATGGTTAGTGATAGACCCTAAAACATAATATGTTGGCAGATAATGCTAGGAACAAGTTTGTAGTTTAGCAAGTACTGTAGTCATAGTAGTAGCAGCAGTAGTAGTAGTAGTAGTAGTACCAACAGTAGTAGTAGTAGTACCGGGTGCCTGTCAGAGCACTCTTTTACGACAGATCATCACAGTTTACAACGGGCGTGGTCATGATGTGGTCATTGTGTGTCGGTGTTTTGATGCGACTGAGTGGTGAGAGCAGTATTATCAGTTAGAACTTTACTGTCACCTCCACTCAGTCAATAAATTACACTGGAATTCCTGTACAGCTGTTCATCCATGTAAAGTTTGTCCACTGTGAGACGGGTTCTTTTATTGTTCTTTCTCACATCCTTCATAACTGGATACAAGAGCCGTCTTCACTTGAGAATCTCAGGTGGAAACTGATCGCTGAAGGAGAAAGTTGTTTTTTTGAGTTTCACACTTTAGACTTGCTCTTTGGATCCATGAGTTGTGCAACAACAGGACGAGAAGTCCAATGTGATGAACTCTACCAAAGCTGATGATTTTCAATGATGCCTCATCCATTTTAAGGTGAGTGGTCATAAAAGAATGAGAACTTCACATATCAATTACTTGAAATGGGTCCTTTGGAGGAGACGGAGCAGCTGCAGAACATAGAGAAAAATCCCGCACACCGTCTTACTTGCAAATTGTGAGATTTATTAAGAAAAAATTAATCCTAATAAATCTCACAATTTGCAAGTATTCAATTTGCAATTTTTCTCTATGTTCTAATGTAAGTGGTCATAAAGTTTTTAACCATCAGCTCTGTCTTTTGGTCGGTTTCTCCTTGTGCCTCTGGAACTCCGTGTATAATAATAATATTCCTCATTTAGTCTGTCTTAGAAATTTTGGCTCTTCCCACAGTCCAGGTAAGTGTCTTAAGAATATAAATTAAATTTCTTATTATCAATGAACTGCTCTCACCTTCTCTGTCTCTCCTCAGGGACGTCACATGGTTTTCAGTCACATTTGTCCGAGTCTTTATGCTGTTAAGTTCAGCAGCTTGGCCTAAGAGGAAATAAAATTTAAAAAAACTAAAAAAAAACTGACATTTTAAAATTAAATTCTGTAAGGAAAGAGTGCACCTAGAGATAATTCACTGTGGCTTAGACAATCCACCAGTGCTGATACAGAAGATCTAAACACTGAGGTCACACAGTGAATATGTTCACGATGTTTTATTAAAACACTTTACAGAAAAATAAATTTAACTCGACTCCTGTGTTTGTGAACACTGGTGTTTAAATGTGTGTGGACGGGTAAACACTTTGAGTGCTCAGTGAAATTAGAAACTTACTGTAACAGCGACCATTTATCTAACATTTAAACTTTTTAAACTCTAAACGTTGTACAGTGTTTGTAAAGTGTTTTGTACTCAATAGCATCATGTGAACATAATACCTTTTAGTTGTTGTTTAATTGGCTCCACTTCACTGGTCTGCTTCTGGAGCTCCTGGACTTGTGCTGTTAGTCCTTAAACAGAAGTACAATGGAGTCAGTGTGTAAATATTGTTGGTGCAATTCTATATTTTAAAACTGCAGTATATTTATTTACTGATAAAAAGGCTGAACAATCAATTATGAGACCACAATCATTACAAATCTCTCGTTTTTAGACAACAAAATGCAATTACAGAAAACAGTAGCAGCTTATCAATTTTATAATGTAGTTTTATAGTAATTCTTTTTTTTTTATTAACCCTAATCCAAAGTAAAATGACTTACATGAAAGATACCTTGTTGTTTTTGCATTAATGTGTCCATTTTTGCAGTGAGTTTAACTATTTTAGAACTGTTTGAGGTCTATAGTGAGTAATGACTGTACCTTGTTGTTGTTGTTTCAGTGTCTCCACATCTCTGGTCTTCAGCTCTCTCAGTTCAGCTTCTTGCTTTCTCAGTTCAACTTCTTGCTTTCTTAGTTTTGCTGCTTGTTCTAACAAGTCAGAAAATATAGTTTTGATCAATAATGTGTTAATAAATGACTTGAGTGAGTTGTAGAGAAATGTTGATTCTGACCTTGACTGAGAGACTGCAGCTGCTCGATCCTGACTCTGTGTTCAGCCACATCGCTGGTCTTCTGCTCGAGCTCTCTCAGATTTGCTTCTTGTACTAAAAAAGTAATTTATGTCATACATAAATAATAAAACATGACATAACGTGTTTATGGAGAAGTGTTGTGTTGTAGAAAAGAGATTCTGACCTTCAATCTTGACTCTGTGTTGGGCCAGGGCGGCGCTCATGTGTCGGAGCACAGCGTGGAGGTCTGGTGGACAGGGCTGAAGCTGCTCTGGCACATTCACACTCTCAGGACTGGCTTGTCTTTGGTCACTGATCTCATTGTCCTGAAGTTCAGCTCCTGACAGAGAGCAGAGCAGCAGCAGCAGTGCACACAACACACTCACTCTTTCCATCGTGTAAAGAAGAATGAGCCCCACAAACACTCTCACACTTTTATACAGACTTTATGACTTATCATTAGTCATTACTTACCTTTGTTTTATCTCTCACATGCACGAGTTTAGATAAGATTAAATAGTAGGCAACACGTTTTCAAAACAAATTATAAAATGGAGTCCAGACCCACTTTTCTTTATTAACAAAGCTGATAATTTAGAATTAGTTTTATTCATCCTCAAGGGAAATTCTTTTCATCAGACATGCAGCCAACCAGCAGAAGTAGAGTTATCAAAAATAAAGTTAAGTACATTTTAAAATCCATAATACAGTAAAACAAGTCTCCATCAACTAAACCTCCACTAAAAATAAAATAAACCACTTAAAATATAGTTCTCTCATAACATATTTACCTCTTTATAAACAGTTTTACAACAGTGCAATATGTTGCTACAGTGAGACTTTTACAACACAGAGTTCAGCAGTTTGATGGCGACTGGCAGGAATGATTTCCTGTGTCTGTCAGTGGAGCAGTGCGGCAGTGACAGTCTATGTCTGAACGAGCTCTTGTGGCTGACCAGCACATTGTGGAGTGGAAGAGTTCAGAATAGTCCTGATTTTGGACAACATCCTCCTGTCCGACGCTACAGTCAGAGAGTCCAAGCTCCTCCCCACAACATGTTCACTTTCTTGATCATCTTATTGAGTCTATTATTGTCCCTCACATGCAGACTTCTGCCCCAGGAGACCATAACATACATGATGCCACTGGCCACCAGAGACTCCACAGACTCGTAGAACATCCTGAGCATTGTTCTGCAGATGTCAAAGGACCTCAGCCTCCTCAGAAAGTAGAGACGCTCTGGTCTTTCCTGTAGACAGTGTCCATGTTCCTGCTCCAGTTCAGTTTCGGATCAGGATTTCAATACTAAATGTGAATAAAAGTGGTGAGAGTGGACAACCCTGACAGGAGCCACAGGATAGATTGAATGGTTGGTGTGTTTGTCCAGTTAGTTCCATTGCCAAGAGTTTATTATATAAAGTCTTAATCACTGAAATAAATTTAAACCCAAAGCCTGAGAGTTCTAAGACTGACCACAAAAAGCTCAATTCGTGAAGTTCAAAAGTTTTCTCTGTGTCCAAGGAAAAGACGGCAGCAGGAGAATTAATAGTTTTGGTATTTTCTATAAATATGTAAAATATATAATATTTCATTTGAAATGGTGAATGGCAAAAGTCCTAATGTTTCATCGTTCTGAAACCCATGGATAGACAGTTTCTGAGATTAGCTTTTAACACTTGAAATATTGATGATGGTTTGATGTGATTGCTGTCAATTTCAAATAAATAATCAACAAAAACAAATGTAGCTGTCACATAAAATACAAGGTCTAAATACAGTATTAAGTATATTAAGATTAGTCGTCCTGCATTCACCTTGTTTGTGTTTCTCAGGAACAACCAGTTTGAAAGAAATAAGAAGTTGTGATATGTCTGTGTTTCCTCAATAAAACAATATTCATCTGTGTAGTGATGAAATGTTTTTTTAAGCTGTACTTTCCTTTGGCAAAATAAATGAAAGTTATAAAAGCAGCATTGAAGCTATATAATTGAAACAGTAAAACACAATAAAACAATAACTCTGCCCTGGATGACCTATGTTGTCAGACATAGACCGTACTAAGAAGTGGACTAAGTGAGTGTGATGTTACCTATAGTGTTCGGCTCGAAGCAAAAGAAGCTCACGATGCTAACAGTTACAGGGTCCAATATGGAACTATTAATATCAGGAATATTAGGAAATATTAGGAATAGAAATCTTTATTAGGAAAATCACGAGGCTCACAGCAGCAGTTACAGAGAGAGGGACGACAATATTCTGATGTAAATCAATGGGAAGAGCAGCACGCAAACTTCCTATTGGGTCATTCCACGACAAAACTCCCAATGCCCCTTAACAACGACCTCAGATTTGACTGAAAGCTTTTTAGTAGATTCACACATTTTCCAAGAGAAAAAGTCCCAAATTTTAGCTCCCAACTCCTTAGATTTGTTATTAAAAATATTCTGTCAACTCTCCCTGACCTGTTTTGAGCAGAGTTTTCAGAGGAGCCACTTTCAGATTACTACTATATCTAAAAAACTATTTAAGGTCAGTACTTCATATTTTCAAGGATTAAAATCTGGCAAATGTACTTGTAGAATATGGACTTTTACACATGTGCTTTCAATTTATCACAGGTTTTTGGGGGCTTGAATTTGTTTGAAAATTCTACTCTTCAAATTTGAGGGCATCTTTGAAGGACTGTCGAAAGTGCAATTTCAAAGACAGAGGTTTGATATTGAATATACTCCTTCCCACACACGCTGTGGACTTTTTGTTTTAAAACTAAGCCTCTGTGATGAACGCTCTAGAAGATACTAAGTTTTAAAAATGAAAAAAAATAATAATAATTGATGCCATCTTTACCACGTTATACCAAAAAAATGACAGCACCCACCAACATAAAATGGACCATTTTAGAAAGACTAGATGTCTGTTTTTAACATGTCCAAAATATGTGATGGTGTTCTGCCTTATTTTTGCAATTTAAAAATGTGTGCATTTGGAGATGTGACGTGGAATGACCCTATTTGGAACATGTCGGCTATTGTGTTAGCTCTGTCCGTCTATATACACAAAGTCTGTGGTCACATGAGGAACAGCAGGTGACCACTGAACGTGCTGCGGTGATTTCCATTATCATAGACTCTTGAATTCTCCCACTGACGCAGAAACACAACATCTCCAGCCTCCAGGAGCAAAGTGACTCCATTGGCTCCAGTGCCGTAATCATTTGTCTGATGTTCATAAGAAATAAAAACATGTTCTCCATTCTTCACCAACACAGCACATGAAGCATGTGAAGTATGTCCCTGTGCACCAATGTACCACTCAAAGTGGTAGGCCCCTCTGACCGGTGCAATGAAAAACCCTGTAGGATATGTACATAATGTTAGTGTTGGTAACGCTCACATAGATCACTGTAACATGTGTGAGTTTATTCACCTGTGTTTGGGCTGTAGGCGTTTCCAATGTTTGAGACCACGTGTCTGAAGACCAGATTAGTGTGAGTGTTAAAGGGGCCGAGGATTACTTCTCCTGAAGCCACTAAAGAGGCGGAGAAAGCCACTTGTCCCACTGGAAACACAGACCCACAAAAACATAAAAAATAAATAAATAATAATAATAATAAATAAAAATAAATACATAAAAGCCTGTATATTAACTGTCTGCAGTTTAAATGTGGTTCATAGCAATAACTTTCCTATGTTATTATGCACACCTTCACCTTCACCTTCTCATTGTTTCAGTTCTCAAATTGCTTCCAGTTTACTCTAAATCATAAAGCCTGAATGGTAATTTTAAACTAGAAACCCAACCTTGAGTATGTAGTGTTTTAGGGGTAGTATTTTGGTCCCTCTCTGTCCAGGTAAGTGTCTGAAGAATCTAAGTTAGAATTTTCATGATCAGTGAACTGGTCTCACCTTCTCTGTCTCTCCTCAGTGACGCCACATGGTTTTCAGTCACATTTATTTGAGTCTTTATGGTGTTGAGTTCAGCAGCTTGGCCTAAGAGGAAAGAAAATATCAATTCTGACATTGTAGTAATTCCAAAGAACAGCTGGAATTCAGGCACTTAAAGGTCCTGTATGACACAAAATTGACTCTTTTGAGCTTTAAAGAATCCATAATACACAATGTTCTGAGCTCTGTTATAATGTTGTTTCCTTATCACAAACAGACCTGGAGTTTTGTTCTGTTCCACCTTGTGATGTCATGTAGTTGTAGTTTTCAAATTAACACATACTTTTTTACCTTTTGTTGAATAGATATAAGTAATTCCAGGGCTAAAATTATCCAAAGGCTTCTAATATACAGTATTCTGTTAACATAATTTATTTTAACCAGCTAGATAGAGTCAACCTGGCGATAAAGACATTTCGGCTCCATCCACAAGCCAATTGAATGTTAAAAAGGAAGTGAATAAGGCTGAAGGTGAAACAGCAAAACACAATAGAGGCCAGTTTCAAGTCACGACCATCAAGTTGAAAATGAGACATTTTGGTCACCAGCAAACATAAAATAAATAATATTCCTACCATTTGTAGCTGATTACTTTAGTATCTGGCTCCTGAATGTAAGTTAAACTATTTTTTTATTCAATCTATACTTGAGACCTTAAACTGAACATATACTACAGTAGTATTTCAGACCTTTAAATAGACAAGGAAAAAGTGGGTCTACAGAGAATTAACAGTGGCCTTGATAACCCACTGGTACTGAGAAGATTATGTACACACGCACACACACATGCACACAAATAATCTTTTTTCCTTATATGTGACTTATAGTTGACTTATTACTGTACCTTGTTGCTGTGTATCCAAATTTCTGGTCTTTATCTCCAATGCTCTCAATTCGGCTTCTTGTTCTGAGATATCACAGATAGTGGAGATAAATATATAGATATAGATAGATAGATAGATAGATAGATAGATAGATAGATAGATATAGATAGATAGATTCTGACCTTGACTGAGAGACTGCAGCTGCTCGATCCTGACTCTGTGTTCAGCCACATCACTGGTCTTCTGCTCGAGCTCTCTCAGGTTGGCTTCTTGTACTAAAAAAGTCATTTATGTCATACATAAATAATAAAACATGACATAACGTGTTTATGGAGAAGTGTTGTAGAAAAGAGATTCTGACCTTCAATCTTGACTCTGTGTTGGGCCAGGGCGGCGCTCATGTGTCGGAGCACAGCGTGGAGGTCTGGTGGACAGGGCTGAGGCTGCTCTGTCACATTCACACTCTCAGGACTGGCTTGTCTTTGGTCACTGATCTCATTGTCCTGAAGTTCAGCTCCTGACAGAGAGCAGAGCAGCAGCAGCAGTGCACACAACACACTCACTCTTTCCATCGTGTAAAGAAGAATGAGCCCCACAAACACTCTCACACTTTTATACAGACTTTATTACACATGTTACTCATTACCTTTTATTATTTATTGCCATTGTTTCATCTCTCACGTGCACACGACTCTAGATAAGATGAAGAACTTAAATTAAACATCTTTCTCAGAATATTTTATGCCATGGTATTATAAGAAGTAAAACACTACTTTGATTAGACTGTTGTACTGATATTTAATCATTAATTTATTTATCTGTGCCTTGATTGAGACCGAGTTTTTCTGACACTAGGCAACGTATTTTGGTCAGTACTAATACTACACAAAAAATATTTAAGACCTGTGTACAAATATAGAGTGTGATATATTGTTAACATATAATCTCAAGTCAAACAATCTTTTTTCTTTTTGTAAATTACATTTTAAAAGATGGTCATTAAAATGCTTTTAAGGTATTAATAGTTATATTTACACTCTTAACTTTTTGCCCATAAATTCCATCAGTGACACTTAAGAACAATTTAAATGTGAACAGATAAAAAACATAGGCTGTGTGGTGTGGGTTTAAAGCTACAGATCTGTGAAATGTTTGTGAACTGTTAGAATAGATAAAAAGTTAGATGTTTTATTTGAAATTTAACATTAACACACAAGCGTCTGTCACATGGGGAACAGCAGGTGACCACTGAACGTGCTGTGGTGATTTACATCATCGTAGATTCTTGTATTCACCCACAGACGCAGAAACACGACATCTCCAACCTCCAGGAGCAAAGTGACTCCATTAGAGGATTTGGCAAAACCACTTTTTTCATGTTCGTAAGAGCTACAAATGTTTTCTCCATTCTTC